TCAGAAAACTGGGTGACACCATGTTCAGCAGTCGGGTCCAGCATTTGGTGGCGCCTGGCTAAACGCAGGTTAGACATAAACACACCGAATCTATAGTCCTCCTCTTCCTCTGTAGCATATGTTTTATTATATTCCTGTTTAAATGTTAAGAATTTCAGCTCAGCATTCAAAAGATCATCACCATCCATCACTACAACTTCTCTGATCAAAGGATCGTCCAATGCAGAGGTAATGGTAGTGGCAATGGTAATGAGAGAGAGAAGGAAAAGAGGAAGTAAAGAGGAAGGGCTCATTTTGGAAGGGATATCGAAAGAAGGTTTTTGATGGTGTGATGAACGCAGAGCCGAAACCTAGAATTTATAGTAGTGCCTCGCAAAAGACGACATGCGTGTTACTGTTCTTGATTCTGCGGTTATAAAGCTTGTACGGGCCCAAGTACGCAAGATTTAGATATAGCTGTCGACCCTATCATTAGTAATTATCTTTAATTTCTACTTGAGATCACACTAATTACTACTTGGATTAATTTATATCTATACTACTTGGCATCAGAGACTTTACTATAATGGTTTCAACAATAATTAATGCCACAACGAATCAGTAAATCTGTATATTATGTAAACATTCGTACTGAAAATCATATATTTATAACGTAAATACACTCATATATTTTCAGCTGTAAAAATGTAAAACTTCATTATACAGTAGTTATAATGATATAATTAACTAATTCTATTACTACGAAGAGGTTATAACTTAATAGAAGTGTAGTTACAAAAATTATTATTTTGATTTCTTATTTTATGATTCATGTTTTAGTAGTACAGTATTAGAATTTCAATTCATGTTTTAGTAGCATTAAAATTTCAATTATTTACTTTTGAAACGGATAGAAGATCATGTTTTTGAATCAGCAAAGATAAATGTCTTTGATAGAATTGTAAATGTAGTTGTTGCATGGTTAATTGATGTGAAGCTTCAAATAATTGTCAATTATTTTAAGCAATGCAAAATTAAGACCTTCGACGTTGATGAATTATAAGTTACAAATGAAGTAGATGAGGAGAATCAAAGAGTCATTGTAGAATTGAATGATCAGATTCGACAACTTCACTCTATACTAATCGAATGGATGTCTTCTTCAATTATCTAAATGGACAACAAGTCATATATGCTTTAACTGAAAAATAAATCATTACTATAATTAGACAAGAAGAGAAAGTAAATAATCATGAGGATAATAGTACAAAAATACAAAAAGTTTCATGCTAAAGAAGCTTTAAACATGCTTGAGAAGTTAGAAATATTTTGGCTTCAACAAGAAGATATTCATATTAGCAAGTTATTACGTACCCGTAAATTAAAACATGTTGTAATAATTCTAAATCATAAATCATTATCTGAAACAACTTTAGATAATATTTTATTTTATCTTAAACATTTAATGTGAAATAATATCTATTTTTTTACAATATACAAATAATTATTATTATGTAAAGACAACTTTCTTAAGACGGGAATCAGAAAAGTTATAACTTATTAAAATATTGAGTTTATTCTTATTTATAACTATCCTCAGTTTGGATTATAATTTTTTATGATTATATGAAGTTTATTCCTATATAGAGTATTACTGTAGAGGGGTTTTACTATATTTATTAAGAAATATATAATTATTTAATTAAAAACGTAATGTGAATAATAAATCCTATTTTCTTTGATATGGCCCGCTTCATTGTTTTTATAATATTAGTACTCTTATCTTCTTTGCATTTCTTCATTTTTTATAACAGCCGGATGTCAATAATTTACATACTTACAAGTATAGATGTAGCGCGTGAAATTAAGGCCAACCAGAAACATCTATATATATTCTAGAGATTGTTTCCTTTATGTCGTGGGCTGAATGATATTTTGTCACTCAAAGTTTGATTAATGTAAAACATTATTGTATTTGTTAAGAAATATATAATTTTTTATTTTTTATTTTTTTTTAAAAAAAAAGGTAATGTGAGTGAGTCCTATTTTCTTTAATATGGCCCGCTTATTCGTTTTTATTATATTATTTCTGTTGTATTTTATATATTCTAGAGTTGTTTAAATTACGTCATCCGCTGAATTATATACAAAAATCGTAAACTTTACCGTCTCAAACTCATTCAACATTAAAGTTATATACCAATAATCAAAAACAAAATAAAATGACAAAAATACTTTCACAAATGAAGGAGAAATTCACGACCAAAGAGGTGGTCACCGATAGAGGACATCACATCGCGGCTTGAAATAAAATCACAGACCAATGAGAATTTCACAGTCAAAAACATTGCCACAAGTGGAGGTTGCTGCATAGGTTTTGTGGCTTGACCGGATTTGGCATTGCTAGCCACGGCCAAGCCACGATCTGTGTCGCCGGTCACGGCTTGATCGGATTCGGCCTCTCCAATCACGGCCAGCCAGCGATCGACTATTGCGTGGTCCTTCACAGGTAGCCTCAGGGTGGTCGTGTTCTGTGGGGCTGGAGTTTTTTGAAAATTCTTTTGTACTTTGTTTCCTTTTTTATGTTGTATTAGGTGAGAGACAATAGGGTTAGTTCAACAATATATACACTAAATAAATAAATTTATTGTCCATGTTGATGATAATGCTCTTTTACTGTTAAAATTAACGTTTGAAGTTTAACAATGGTGGGAAAATGTTTTTTTTCAAAATTTAAGGGCAGAAAATGTAGATTCGTCAGACTTCGGGTCGGAAAATGTCATTCAACCTTATGTCGTGTGACATTGGAGTTAATAACATTTTCATCCCTCGGGTTTGAATAAAATAATTAGAAAATAATACAGCCACCGACGGTAGTGCACTAAATTTGTGCACTGAATGACGTGACAAAATCTCGACCGTTGATTAATTTTAACTTAATATTAATCAACAACGGTCAGGATTTTGTTACGTCATTCGGTGTACAAATTCGGTGCACTACCGTCGGTGGCTATAGCATTACTCAAAATAATTTGATCCATTAAAATTTGGAAAAGTTATTATAGTCCCTCTTAGACTTCTGTAGTTAGAAAATTTCAAACGCTATAAGGGTATGTTTGTCATTTTACATGTTCTAAGAATAATAAAATGAAATTTAAAAAATACTTTTTAATTTAAAAAAATTAAAAAATAGAATTAAACAAAAAAAAGAAAAAAAATAAAGGACATTAAATTATAAAATAAAATTTTATATGAGAATTCTTTTAGTGTTGTTATTGAAGGTAGGGATTCATAGTTTTGTATTTTACATATTTAAGACAAATGGGGTTGTAATAGGCCAATAGCCATTTCATATCAAAGCATTAGTTTAATAGTCTACACTGACAGTCTGACAAGGACTAGAATGGGATTTTCAGATTTAACTGGACTACAAATATTTTCTTTAAACCTCAAGGATGAAAATGTTATTAACTCTGTGACATTGACCAGTATTATATGCGCTCTTTAATAGGGGAGTTCTGAGTTCTCAATATTTTTATAGGGTTTCTTTCAAAAATCTAAAAATAAATAAATGCTTTCTAATAATTGTAAATACTTTTTAATATTAAATTATTAATTGATTTTACATAAATAAAATGAAGTATACTGGCATATTCCAACAATTATTGCAGACATGGACAAGTTATGTGGTCTTCATAGTCAAAATCGATATCACGAGTTAATATGGAGGATATCCCTGCATATCAGCCATTGCATTACGACGCAGTGTTTGTTTTATCTTTAAGAGCAGTACTACTTTTACAAAGACAAAAATAAAGAAGATATATAAAGATAATTCTTACCTTTCATCTTCGTGATTTTTCTCTCCCTCTCTCTCTTTTTCAGTTTTTTCTTTGTTTTTTCCTTCTTACTGATGTCATTTTATAGTCTTCTTTGTATTGTTTTTGTAAGGATATCATTTTTGTATCTTTAATTAGATCCATAGCTATCCGATCCAAAAGCTACTCTAAACCAGCATCTGAAATTAACTCCCCTAGTGTATGGCTGCATGTAGTTGAATTAATTGCCACCGTTCGATTGCGCATACAAGTTTTCCGCATCCTGGCATTACATATTAATGCAACAATTGATGTAAATGTTGATCTTCTCGATTGTTCATTAGCATTGTCGGTCCAAGGGTCACAGCGTAAGCATACTCCTCTGACGCCTTTCGCGTAACTCATCCAGTTTTTAATATGTACTCAAAGACATTAGATATGAATCCACCTTTACAACCACACTCACATACGTAAAGTTCAAGGATCATACATTATAGTGCAAATCATGCATTCAATTTAAGAGAACATAATAGTGTGATCTTCTGCTTGAGCCTCTCATTTCTTGGCCACCCATGAAGTTCAAAGGCTACTCTTTTCTCAGACTTGATGCAGCTCTTCTCAAATTAGATGTCTACCCTCAGGGTCAGGGGCAGCCTACAGTTGCATATGATTTATCAATGGAGTTTTATCCACCTAAAGTCCTTAAGGAGAAGGCTACTAAATATCTGATGTCCTACTTTTTCTCTGGTGCAGTGAGCAATCTAATTCCAACCAACTTCATCAACTATGGGGATCCCTGCAAAGAAGTAATTCAGTTTCTACTTCACCTAATAATTACCGATTGAACGTGCTTGGACCCTTCAAACAGAGCACATATATAAGCTTAATTCTCCTGATGGCACATTCTACTATCAGTCCAAGAAATAAAAATGGCATATACCATATATTGTATTGAATTTTTTATCTCTATCAAGTGCGGTATCTACAATTTATAGTTACATGAGGTCGGTAGGGCTAAAAACACAGACGGATATGATTATGTGCAAATAACAGTGATAAATATCGGAAGCAGAAGGTTTCTACTAGCTAGCTCCTACATAAATAGATAACATTACCATTTTAATAAAGGCACACAATTGTCACTAGCATACAAGACCATCAAATTGCCAATCATGACAAAATGAAATGTTTTAAACACCAAGAGCATGAATAGTTCCTGCCTCAGCTGAGTGTGTTCACAATATCAGATAAATATATAGAAGGATGATCTCTATATTATGATACATATATATATATTATAACTTGAATTTACAAGCACTCCACTTGATAAGCACGACCTCCAAAATATTAATCTGGGAATTCAACAATCTAGTGCGAGGTTGTGTGGATAGCTGCGGCTACAGTTGAGACCATGGAGTCCACTCCACATACGTTGCGACCCCTGCATATCTTGTAGTATCCATTCTCTCCCCAATTCTCTCCCCAAGAATTCTTTATGATCCAGAAAGGCTTCTCCTTAAACCTGATAGGCGCATAACCAGCAGATCCATATCCCACTAGAAGCACTCCGTGATCCAAGTGCTTCCCGCAAATGTATGGGCAAGAAACTCCTCCAATATATGTTTGCATGTAAACTGCATTGATCCCCACTGCAAAAGCATAGCAGAGTAATTAATAAAAACAGATTGTCACCACTCATCTAATTAGTCGATCCAACTTACCAATCTTACTAACCTCAAGAAAAAAAATATATATTTATCATTCATGAACTTTATGACAAGACCAATAGTGGAAAATCCACAACCACAAGACACAACCAAGAAACAGAGAATTAAATATGAAGCATTGGTAACAGCTGAAGGCAGCTATTTTACCTGCAAGAGGGCCATTCTTCACTAGATTAGCAGCAATTTGATCTTCATCAAGGGAAATAACGCTGAAGTTAGATACAGTAGCAGCAATTTTGCTTTTGTCAAATTTGCAGGATCCACCGTCTGTCCCGGTGTAAGGATAGTCTTCCTCTCGCTCAAGTCCTCCAGCCTTGAGTGTGTACTCAAAGGCAGTGGTCATAAGCCCACCATTACACCCAGAGTCACAAGCACCATATTCTTCTGGATCACACTGCATTAATACAAACTTATCATAATAAAGATAATAGTATATATCCAAGCTACCATAATTCCACCAAGAATCACTAGGTTTAAACAATAAATACAAATAGTCTTAAATCAATAAATTTATCTATGTCTAAGAGTTGAAAGGGTATTCTTATTTGGACGGCTGGCATGACACTCAGTTTTGTAAGGAAAATAATAGAGACACCGAGAGTAGTGCACCGAATTTGTGCACCGAATGATGTGACGCAATCCTGACCGTCGATTAATTATAACTGAATATTAATCAACGGTCAGGATTTCGTTACGACATTCGGTGCACAAATTCGGTGCACTACTCCCGGTGACTGTAGCATTACTCGTTTTGTAAACCTTGAAAGACGCAAGTATTAGCTTTGGAAGATGTAGGTAAGTCCATCAAACAGAAATACTAATATAACACACTCCCAAACTTTCAAATTTACATATTTGTGCCTATTACTCACATGTTTACATTTGAGCATCTGCATCAAATTTTCAGTCAAGCTTTTGAATAAATATGACTCTAACAAGAAACTTAAATGCCCGTTTCCCAGCGGATTTTTTTTTGTGCTCCATTTAGAAACAACACTCTCCCTCTACCTACTAAATTATATTCCATGTAGACTAATTACCACATCATGCATATTTCAAGCAAGAAAAGATTGAAACAGTAATTACCCAAAAGTTTTCCATCGTAATTGATATTCAGCAACAAAGAATTTTAATGAGTTTGATGCGATTCTCTAATGGAACGGACTTCATTAAAATTTAAAACCAGAGATATCACACAATTCATCCTAACAAGCAAACAATTCAAACTCTACCCATTTAACAACTGACAATAGCGTAATAAAGAGATCCAAAAAATAGGATTGATTTAAACCTACATCGTGATCACAATCCACGAGCTGCTGCTCACTTAAGCTCACAAGCTCGCCAGTCGTTAAATAATGAGCTCCTTCCAAAGCCCCCGTCGCACTAAAGGACCAGCATGATCCACATGCGCCCTATGAAATAAATAACTTTTTAGGAAAAAAAAAAAAAGATAAAAAGATAAAAACCCATATATTTAATTTATTAGAATCACACGCGTCATATGTATACAGAGAACAAAGTACCTGGTCTTTAACGCCAGTAACGGCCCCATGGTCACGCCAATCGAAGTCAGTGGGAAGATCGTTGGTGGGTAGTAAAGGAGCCTTTTCAGCGTCTGCTGGGAGCCGAAGCCGCCTGTTCAAACCGAGAAACTGACGACGAAATTCAGACGGCGTTAAATCAGAGAACTTGGTGACACCGTGGACAGCTGAGGGGTCCAGAATCTGGTGACGCTTGGCTCGGCGCAAGTTAGCCTTGAAAACACCGAATCGGTAGTCGTGCTCCTCTTGGGTAGCATACGTTTTGGCGAATTTCGATTTGAAGAGGGAGAAATGATGTTCCGCGTTGAGCAGATGATCGTCATCGTCGTCGTCTGATGAAACGACTTGCCTGATCAAAGGTTCTTCGTCGTCAAAACCATCATTAGATGATACGGTGGATGCGAGTGAAGAGGATAATATTGAGAGAAGAAGGAGGAGAGAATATAGGAAAATCCGTTCCATTTGGAAGGAGCGAGCAAGCGAAACTGCGAATACTGAAGTCCGCACAGAGCAGATAGATATTTGTTTGGAATTTAAAGACAAAAAGCCAAAAGATTGTGAACCGGATGCTTCCTAAGCTAATGCAATCATGACACGTGCTTACTTTTGAGTGGTTAGTCGTCTGCAAGTTGAGCTACAAAACAAAGGAAATGAGCGTCACCGCGGACCCATTATAATTCTTATTGTTGCTTAGCGCTCTATTTAACGTGCAAATTTTAAATTTTGATGTCATTTTCTTGGTGGAAAAAGTTAGTCACCTCGCCTTTGTTTTTATCACGCCCGTGTTTCTTCATTAATTTATAACCTTACAAAACCCATTATGATGTACGACAATTCTAGTGCCGTACGTAACTAAAGTTTAAAAAGATTATTCAAATTCGGGCCTAGCCCACAGTAGAAGCGTCGTTGTATACTTATGCCCAACCACTTGGTATGACCCGCATGCATATATCTTCGTCCTTTGGATTACGTGGCTTCATTTGAGAAAAGACATGTACTCCACAAAAAAAATCAATAGTTCCCCAATCCAATATCTTCAACAAATACAAGTCAAAAGAAATTGGACTCTTTGGGCCTCTTGGGCTTTTCATAAAGTGAACAACTGAACATCAACATTATAGTGCAAACTCCTTTCATTCAAATTGGTTGAGATAGCTTTTGTTTATATTAATTCTCAAAATTAATTTTATAAGTTCTGTCTATTTTAAGTCTACTTATATTTAAAATAAAATAAAATGAGAAATAATATTTTTATTTGTAATTAAAAAAATAAAATAGAAATTTCACTCATATGTATTTATTAATATTATAAAAATATCTCAATTTAAGTTAGGGCGTTAATAATCATACGTGCTCAAGCCTATACATATATCTTATACATCCGATTCTGATTGGTTTTCACCATCCAGGACGCAATCATAATTTGGCACGTCAATATAGTGGCGTGAGTTCTAAGCCCTCATTTATTATCCTCTGCTAACTATATTATATATAATACACATTTGAGTCAGAAATCGGTTGGGTCTAGCAGTCAAGCCCTCAGCGTTTCGGGGTTAAAACAGTGACGACAAAAGACTAGTAGAAACTGAAACACTCGACTAGCAATAAAGAGAAATTTCCTCAAGAGATGGAGGATGATCACAGTAACGGTGGTGTTTTAGATACGGTAGGAGCAAGTACAGAGGTGTATTTAATGAAGTGTCCAGTGGCGGTGGCTAAGTCATGGCAGAGTCATGCTGCTTCTTCTGATTTTCAACCTGTAGCCAAGTTCATTGAGTCTATTGATCCTCTTCATCCCGAAGACAGGAAGGTACATTATTTCATTCCAATTTATTGCTTAAGTTTATCTCTTGATCTGTTTTATTTACTTTTCAATATTTTCCTATATGAAAAGCATGAGATCCCTAGGTTATCGATTTTATGAACTATGAAGTAAAATTAAGAAGGATAAATGATTTTACTGGTTATGGATGGGCAATTTGACCTATGCTTTGAGTGAATGGTTCCTCAAGTTATCAACTGCTTGGAATTGATTTGATTGATCAATTTCTCTGCCATGGACCTTCTCAACTCTTGAAAAAGTTCTCATGCTTCGGTCATGAATATTTTGCTATTGCTGCTTTGTGAGTACTTGATTGCATCAGGAGTCATTTACTTAATATTTCCATTATGCAAAAATGATGTGGAATTTGCTGGATCTTTCGGCATAAGTTTTTTCTTATTTCTTTTAAACGTCTTTATAATGGCTGAACGGATAGGTGTCAGCACTACCATGCACTATGGCCAAAGGAGCTGTGCAAATTTCTAAGCATATAAAACTTAAACTTGTCTTTTTTGCCTCTGTTTTTACCCTCCCAAATAATCTCTCTTTACTGCACATGAAGAGTGGTGATGCTCTTATTTCTTGTCATAATTCCTTATATGAGTAGACAAATTAAATTGCTTTATTGTAGGTTTTTTCATTTTGTCCTGGGTGTTGGTTGTAATTTTTTATTTCGGTGTATAATTAAGATAACTATCTTTTTAAATAATTTGTTCTGTGTTTTCTTACAAGTTTCTCAAATGGTTTTCAGTTCAAAATGGAGATGCTTAGCTCTGAATCTGTGAACCTTCCAAAAAGATATACTTTGAATAGGGCTAAAGAAATTGTTCCTATGTCTATTTTTTCAGAGACAAATCAAGGTGAGAATTGTGGTTCTTACCTTCTAAGCTCTTGCTCTTGTCATATCTAACTATTTGCAGTTAGTAGTTCTGTTTTGATTGCTCTTCTTCTATATTATGGTTCTCATTCTGCCATGTAGACTTGGAAGGCAAAGAATTGGTTGAAGGATAGTTACGATTTTGTATTTTTGTTCTTATTTTTAAAGTATAACTTCAAGTAACTGTCGGCATCTTGATAAATACTGTTCACTGGAGCTGGCAGTTTAAGAATTTGAATAGTTATCTGGCTATATTGTACAGTTGGTTTCCATAAGAAACTACTGTTTAGAGAAAAGATGGATTGAGCACAAAAGGAAGTTTGAGTAATAATCGATGGTGAGTGGCACTTGCTTTTTTGCCATGTTGTTCTGAATTTCAGTTTCTTCTGGTTAATGAGCAGCTTAATTGCCATGTTGATTTTAGTTTATGTTTTGACGAGTTTGGGTTACATTGTATGTGTGATGTTCCCCATAAACTACTCAGGAGAGAAACATAATTGCATGCGTGCGCGCACACACACACACACACTCACATGATAGGAAATTACTTGCGCATAGTATCTATCATGAACTTTTAGCTAAAGAGCTTTGATATGTGAATTGAAATTTAAGTTGTTTGATGCTGGAAATGCCTACTAAGGTCCTTCAAGGTGAATCATTAGTCCAGCCTTGGTAAAAGGTTTGACTTTATGACAAGACACACCTTTTTACAGTATAGTTTTTATCTTTCTCATCTCAAAATATAGCGCTGTTACTATTTTTAGGCAAAGAACTGTAACATTATGGTTAAAATGAAGTTCTATTGGGAAATGAATTTGAATTCTCCTCTCTGTGTGTGACTTCTGAACTGGGTTGTTTTCTTTTAAGATAGTGATTATAATTGCTTTTATATCAGGTAGGGTTGCAATTGAAGGATTTGTGGAAAAAAAATTTGACATGAAGCCTTATGAAGAAAATATTGAGGAATATGGCAGATTGTGCCGTGAAAGGACAAATAAGTCCATGATCAAGAATAGACAAATACAGGTGGGGCATTCAAGTCTGCATTTGTTATGGCTATGGCATTCCTGGTTTGATATGGTCATTTTGAAAAAGTTCTTACTCCTGCTTTCATGTGTTAAAAAGGTGATTGATAATGACCATGGAGTGCATATGAGGCCAATGCCAGGAATGGTTGGCCTAATTTCATCCACCTCTAAGGTATTGATGCTCTTTCTCTTCTCATACACACTAATGCTATTGCTAAAAGTGATTTACCCGTTAGTTTACATGCTGGTTTTCCTTCACACACTTTATGTATCCTGAAAAGGAAGTTCATATTGCTGTTTTGAGAGGCACGGCATGTACATGGGGTGAAACTTGCTAATTTTGACAGCTAATATGAATTTTTGTGAAATGCTTGGTTAAATTTGTATTTTGGAATTTTTTTATAGTTTGTTTGTAAATGATATTCTAAATTCACAAGATGAATTATTTAACACTACAGAACCATGATTTTATTTTTGTCGGGAAAAAATAAAAAGTCTTATATATTTTTGTAGTACTTATGCAAGCTGTGTGCACTCTTAAGAATTTCATTCGGAAGGGTCCCTCATTATTATAATTGTCAATTATCCATTGCAGGAAAAGAAGAAAACAGCACCAGTTAAACAATCAGACATGAAAAGAACTAGAAGGGATCGTGGAGAATTGGAAGATATAATGTTCAAGCTATTTGAAAGACAACCAAATTGGGCTTTAAAGCAGCTTGTCCAAGAGACTGATCAACCAGCGGTATGTTTTTTTACCTTATCATATGTTTTTCTCTTTCCTCCATGTATGAGTCATTAATCATGGCTCATTAGTCAGTTTTAAAATAAATGAAGAATTTGTTTTTGATGTTGTACATTGAGTTGTGATTACTTTAATTGAAGTTGTAGTTTTTACTCTCTGAAATTCCATTTTATGGTCTTCTCTACCTAACATTTTCGTGAATGGTGATCTTTCTGCAGCAATTCTTGAAAGAGATACTGAATGAGCTGTGTGTTTACAATAAGAGAGGAACCAACCAGGGAACTTACGAGCTAAAGCCAGAATATAAGAAATCTGTTGAGGATGCAGGTGCTGAATAAGTCAATGTTCTTCTATAACTTTGAGACTAAGTACACTTTTATTTAGTTAATATTTTTGTTAGATGGACACAAGCAACGAATTAACCCTTGAGAAGGGTGTAATAGTGTAATGTCAACAAACAAAGCATTGTAAGCAAAGCAGAGGAGAAAGGGCTAAAGAAGTATTAAAAGGATAAATAATTCAGAATTTTCCTTGAGCAAAAATGAAAAATCCCATATATAAGCTTGCAATTCAGATGTTGTTTGATGCAAAATGCGTTTTAAATTCTTTCTAAAGAAATTTCAGAAAATACAAAACTTGATCTCTCTTTCTCATTTTGTTAAATATTTGTTCTTTTAGAATTTTTTCAGTTTGCAAGCATAGGGTAGTTTAGTTTGGCAAAGAGGAAACAGAATATTAGTAATTTTCTTGGCTCAACTTTGGTGCCTTATCCCATTCAGTCCAATGGGATATATTTACAGTTAACAGGAGCAGAGCACCCAAATGTCAAAACTGTTTCATCTAAGTTCAATATCAATTGAACTTTTATCACACAAGCTGTAGATGTTCAACGGCTGGTTTTATGATGAGGCATATCATTACTAGCCCTATGAGTGCTAAAATAAATTGCATGAATGATAAGTTCCTAGTCCCTAGATACTCTGCGTCAATAAAATCAGCTAAAATTGGGCTTGGACTTATGTCCAATAGGAGACATTGTATTTTGGTTAACTAATTTAATCTGAGTTTAGAATAAACTTTATATACTCGTGTTTTATTATGTTATTATGTAACATGTACTACATAGTATGTATGTCTTCACGGTTACAATGAATTCCTCAGGTTGGAAAAAATTGAATTGGGTATAGTAAATAAATATCAAGTTCAAATCTGATATTAATTAAAGAATTGAAATATATTCTTTGATTAAATCTGTTTTTTTAATTTATTTATTAAATTAAACATGAAATTTGAAATAGAAACCTAGTTCATTTGAGTCTCCGGTCACATCACATGGTAAGAAGAACGGAAAGGAAAAAAGAACTGGCGACGCAAGGGAGAGTTCTTTGATGCTTTGATTGATAATTTAATGGCATGGCCTCAAGAAATCAAAAAGATAGAATTGACGGCTCAACTTTTGAATTAATTGGGTTTCTAAAATGGCCCACAAAATGAAGGTGCTAAAAGTCAAAAGCTGCTGCTTCGCCCCACATGATTCAACTTTTCAAAGTTCACGGCAGTATCAAATGTAATGTTTAATTCCCGATATGCGATACAATACGGTCGATGAACCTACGTTCGACTCAGTTGTATCTGTGGCCGGTTACAACCTGAAGATGATTTCTAAGTAAATTCAAGTCTTTCTTTAATTCAGTTAACTAGTTTAGCATTGTTGATACAAAAATCTATACCAATCATAAAATTTTGATTGACCATGTCAAAATCAAAATAAATGTGTGTGTGATTTAATGAAAATTAGCAATTGAATAGTTAAAGAGAAACTATAAACGATAACAAGAGATAATTTTTAAAGCAATAACACTACGGATAGCACCGAATTTTTGTACCGACCTACGTGTAACGCGTCGGTCCATTTTTTTATAATTTTTTTCTAGTGAACGGCCGTCCATCAAATTTGGATGGCCGTTCACTCACATGGGCGGGCGTCCATATGCGAAAGACGGCCGTCCATATAATATGGACGCTCGTCCCTATTAAAATAAAATAAAAAAATTTGTAAAAACTTAGGGACGACCGTCCATTAATTTTGGACGGGCATCCATGTTATATGGAAGGGCGTCCATATACGAGAGACGATCGTCCATATAATATGGACGCCCATCCCTATTAAAATAAAATAAAAAAATTTATAAAAGCTTAGGGACTTATGGACGGCCGTCCATTAATTTTGGACGACATCCATTATTCCTTCACCCAACTATGAAAAAAAAAAAAAAAAATTTCTTTAGGGACATTGTGGACGGGCGTCCAAAATTAATCTTTTACAAATCTTAAAAAAAACAATTACAAATCTTCTTCTTCTTCGCTCCACTCCATCCCTGTAACACCTCAAATCCACTAAAGGTTATTTTTGTTTTGTTTATGCTGTAATTCAGTGGGAGGAAACCATAATTAGAATCAGAAAAACTTACCCCAATAGAAGAAAAACCCATAAGCAAAGAGCTCCAAATAGATCTGCAAATAAACAATTTTTCTCTGAAATGAAAGTTGAATAAGAATCAAATTCTACGAAATAAAGATCAGAAAGAACAGAATCTCATAAGAATAAACGTCATCAAAATAATACAAAATATATAGTTCACAACTTTCTCTTAATCTCTTTGTATCTTTCTTCTTCTTGTCTTTTGGCAGTTATGGGCAAATGGGAAGACAAAGACTTTAAAGTTGTTCTTCTTAGTTGAAAATGTTTTAAACTTACAGTGAACTTCAGTCTGTCTCTTGTAGTCTGTTTCATCTGTATTTTTGTTTTGTTTATGCTGTAATTCAGTGGGAGGATTAGGATTGCTGCAAAATGGATTTGAGGTGTTACAGGGATGGAGTGGAGCGAAGAAGAAGAAGAAGAAGAAGAGCGAAGAAAGTGTTTTTTTTTTTTTTTAAAAGTATGGACGGGCGTCCATTCCTAATGGACTAATGGACGCCCGTCCAAACGTAAGGGACAGCCGTCCAAAATTTATGGACGGCTGTCCCCAAATGTTTTTATTTTTATTTTCATATTTTGGTTAAGGACGCCCGTCCAAAATTAAGGGACGGCCGTCCCTATTTTTTATAAAAAAAAATATTGCATTGACTTATGGACGGGGGTCCATTAAATGGGGACGCCCATCCCTGGTATTGGAGCCCCGTCATATAAATGGGCGGCGTCATGTGAGTGAACAACCGTCCAAATTTGATGGACGGCCGTTCACTCGAAAAAAATTGTTAAAAAAATCAGAAGTGTGTTACACGTAGGCCGGTACAATATTCGGTGCAAAAATCCCGGTGTCCGTAGCATTATTGTTTTTAAAGTGATTCGGCAAATTTGATCTTGAGCCTTCCTCCTATTATCTTATTGTTTTGAGAGCTTATAAAGAACAGTATAGTTCTAAGAAATTTGCTTAGAATAATGTCCAATCCCTTTGAAAACAGTTGTGATGGGTTTATATAGCACTCATAATAATAGAGTGAGATAAGATTCAAATACGTAAAATTAAGAAGTTTCATAATCTTCGACCACCTTAATTAGAGTCTAAGTCAATCGAATATCTTCTTTACATTGAGTCAATCTAAATATCTTATCTCCTAGAGAGAATTACTCTCTGGATGATTGACATGACAAGCATAAACATGCACTTGGATTAAAATAGAAGCAAACTAATCACCACCACAGCAGAATACGACTCCATGTCCATGTCCTGGAAACATAAAGCTATATAGATGCGTAACACAGATGATTTGATAACCAAACGCCTCTTTTAAGCTATTTTAAGATCATAGTCATAGAGCCGTCGAAAACAGACTAACAAAGACTATAATACTGAAACGACGTCATAGATCATCTCTACATATAGGCAAGGATTATATTCCTTGCTGATTTATTATTAGTGTTATTATTCAAGTAACATTATTTTCATGGAAATTCAGCTTGTTAGAAAAATAATCTCATGTTTCTTACTGTCTGAGACTCGCTTTTTTTTTTTTTTTTTTTTTTACTATATAAAAATTAAAATACATGTTTTGAAGGCTCATTAATAATATCGAATAGCTTGAACTGGTGGTGATTCAAATTAAATTGATATATATTTACCGAATTTATGAATCATATATGTAAAGAAAATGGAATATCAACTCAGTATCTTGATAATATATACTGATGTTCATAATATTCTTCCATTTTTTAAGATAAAACATGGCTTTGTTTTCCATTAATTAATGTCCAACTGTTACGTGATAATGGAATAATGTCATTGTATATGATGGTCTTTACATTATATACAGTAGCAGATCTAGAAATTCTTGTTAGGGTGAACCAAAATAAAATATAATAACATATAATATTTATATTATATATTTTTAGTTGAAATTGTCATAAAATGAAAAAAAGTTACATATAAATATATATATATTTTTTTAAAGTTAAGGGTCCACCCTCAATATACTCTAGATCTAGCATCTGAGCATCATTAACTAAAACCCTTCGAATATTCCTTCCATCTTTTATTTTGACTCCAGCTTTGACGTATTGAGAGAAGAGAAGGCCAAACGAAACCAATTCCATTTGTCCAATATCAATTAATTCTATGTAGAAAAAAGAAAGCATTTTCATTAGATAATCAATTGATATGAAAGTAATGATCAGCACCTTGTACATAAATGAGATAAATAAACATGATAAAATAGAAGATTCCCTTATATAAATTAGAGCTGTTTAGAGACGTGACGAGTCATATGACACACATATATAGAATAAAACCTATATTGATCTGAATTTCCTATTTAGTCGGCCACTATACCAACATTTAGAAGTTAGATTCTAAGATGTATGATGTTGAGGCTGCGGCTGAGGCTCTTTTCTGGAATATCATCATTATGCGCATTTCAATGCTTAATGTGGCATTCACATCAACCAATTCGTTAGAATCTTTCGTATTATTCAATCATAATTATGGAGGCGTATCAGTTTTTTCAACGTCCCTACGTATATCTCTTCATTCAATGTGCTGCTTGCCATAAACTGAATGAATATCAAGTTGTACTCTTGGCCAATATTGTTTCATCCCCACTTCAAAAGGAATATAATATCAATAATTGAGGTAAAAAAAATAAAAAAGATAAAAGGAGTTGTAATTAGTTTATTAGGAAACAATATATAACTAAGGAGGATGTTAATTTAATGCTTGGTGATTTTATAATATTCTTGTTTAAAATGCTTACTTCTCTTGATTTCAGGAGAAAAGTAGCTTGCTTTCGGCATGTTTTCGTTGATTAAACTTCTGGCAAATCCAAGTTTATATATTACGCTATTTTAGCAGCTTCAATAGGAAAGAAAGAAACAACGAAAAAAATCTCATAAAGAGGAAAGAAATCTTTTTTTTTTTTTTTTTTGGCATTCGTTTGTTTTGTGTTCAAGCAATGTACTGTTGGTAAAGCCTCATAAATGATATAAGTTAAAGTATTTACATCTCTGTAATATCTCTGGTTAGTTGCAATATTGCATGGTGTTTTCTATGAAAAGACT